GATTTTATGCATCACCAAAAAAACAAACAAAAAACTGCTAGCAGGATTTGGGGGGAGAGTGGGAGGTGGAAATTGACAGTTGATTCTAACATTTATATTGAAATAATAATGTTTTAAAAATCCAGAATAGCTATGGCAATCCAAAGTGAAAAAAACAAAACTGAGCCCCTATATTATCAGATATTATTACTTACTTTTAAGTTAAAAAAATTAAGACAGTGTAATATTAGTGTAAAGGCAGACAGATACCAATGGGACAGAATAGAGAGCCTAGGGGAAAAAAACCCCACACATATGCAGTTCCCTGTTTGATGACAAGGAGACATTGCAATTCAGTGGGGAAAAGATTGACTTTTCAATAAATAATGCTGGGTCAATTGAAATCATATAGTAAAGAAAATGATTTCAATCCTTATCTCACACCATATATAAATTGAAAATGGAATATAAACTTAAATGTTAAAAGTAAAATACTTAAACTTCTAGAAGAAAACATAGAATAGCTTCATGACTTTAGTGTAGGCAAATATTTCTGAACTAGGATGCAAAAAAGCACTAACTGTAAAGATTGGACTTCATTAAAAGTCCAATTGGACTTCGTTAAAACTGAAAAGTTCAAAATACAAAATTAGGAGAACTAAAGGTGTGCCACAAATTAGAAGATATTTGCAACACGTATACCTCTGACAAAGGACTTGCATTCACAATACGTAATGAACTACAAATCAATTTTGTAAAAACTGGCAATCAACCCAATTTTTTAAATGGGGAAAAGCATATGGGAAGATGCAAAATATCATAGTCATCAAAAATGCAAGTCAAGATCACAAAGACCTATCACTACCTCCTGGCCTGAGTAGCTAAAATTAAAATAACAATACCCAGTAGTGGCTAGGCTGTGAAGCAACCAGAAGCCTCATACATTGTTTTCAGTAGTGAGAACTGGTACGTGCATTTTGGAAAACAGTTTAGCAGCACCTAATAAAGTTAAACATACATATATCCTATAGACCAGCAATTCCACCTATGTATCTATCTAATAAATCAGTGATTATGTTCCACCTATGTATCTATCTAATAAATCAGTGATTATGTTCAACCATGCACAAGAAGGTTCAGTGCTTTTTATAATAACCCTAAATTGAAAACCAAATGTCCATCGACTTCAGAATGGGTAAGTAAATTGTAGTATATCCATAAAATGGAAGTCGATACCTAGGAACAAACTGCTTTTAACTACTTTAGAAAACATAGGTGAATCTCAAAGACAATATTGAGTGAAAGAAGCCAGACATAAGAATGCGGAGTCTACCTGATTCATTGTAGAAGTTTAAAAACAAATGACAGTAGATATAGTGAAAGAGTTCAGAACAGTGGCTTACTTTGTGGGGGTATCAAATCAGAGGGAGCAGGAGGGAGCATGCATGGTGACAAAGGGGTGTAAACTTGTAAAAATCAACACACTGTACACTTAAGATTTGGGTACTTTACTGTATATAACTTATACCTTAATAGAATAGAAAGGAATAAAAAACGACTGAAAGAGTAAAAGATATTTAAGCGTCAAGCTAGAAATGATCCCAAATGATGTTTTCTTATGTATCTAGGAAGCTTACCATTCCAACAGGAAGCTCTGAATCACCACACCCCTATAGCTATCCAATTCGTATCCTTAAGAACAATACATAAATTTTCTTTTATCACTGTTTTTTTGTTCTTCCTATCATACTCAGGAAACTTTAAGTATGTTTCCCCATTGTCTGAGTTTTTGTTGGTACAATTATTTTTGAAATGGGAAATACGTTACATTTTCAGAAAACAAGGCAAAAATTTTTCTCTTTTCTTTCTGAAATGGAAGAGGTTGTTAAGAAAAGACTATTTAAAGGGAGTAGCTGAGAAAAAGCTAGCCCAGGGGTAGCCGAAATAGCTCAGTTGGGAGAGCGTTAGACTGAAGATCTAAAGGTCCCTGGTTCAATCCCGGGTTTCGGCACTTATTGGACACCCTTTTGTAACTGTGAACTAGGAGATACTGACCCAATACCAAGTGTCCGTCACCTTCAAATATATTGTCCCTAGTGCCATTTATACAGTGAGGAGTAACATACATTTACCCTTAATTTCCATGGCAAAAAGCAATTCTATGCCCATATGCATAAATTCTTCCACAGCTTCAAGTAATTCCTTGCGGTAAAGAAAACAAAAACATAAACCCCCAAAAAATACCCCACAAAACTTAGTGCTTTATTTAGTTTGCACCTAGATGTTATTAAAGGCATCTGTAAGAAGCAGGGCATAAGCACTTTCAATTCTCCACTTATTTACAGTAATTCTTTCGGTGTTCAAATTACTAAAACAAGCTCATTCCTTCGCGAAGTCTTTCTATATGAACATCAGGGATCTATACACAAACTGTGGGATGTACAAGGATCTTCAAAAGCCAGAATGTGGTTGATTTTGACAAGTACAGAGGACGTGTGACTGCAGAAGAGGTGTCAGATAGATGTCTTTTCTGTGATTTTTGAGCACCTTGAAGTCTTAGCTCTTGCAACCCAAGACAAGAGCTCTTGAAGACTAGAGGAATAAAACTTAGAAGACTCTGGCAGAACTTGAGCCAGTAACGGTTGAATATTTACCACTAGAAACCCACACTTCTCTCTTGCACCAGCGTCGGCCTAAAAATCAACAAAATCATCACTTGCTGATTCATTTAGCTTTAAATTAATATATTCGTTGAAAATTTAACTAGGGGTCAGTCAGCATGAAAGTTCGAAAAGTAGAAAAGAAATGATACAACCTCATGAAATGTAAAGGGACATTTCCCGAGGCTGCAGGAGATTCCTTCAACTTCACATGTTAAAAACTATAGCCTCACCAAGGACCAAAGAGCACATCTCACTTGTTCTATCCTCTCCGACCTAGTGCTTGGATCCTCTGCTTCTCAAAATGGAAGTTGAGTGATACAGAGAATGAACATTTGGGTGAAAATTTTAATACCGACTTGAAAAAATTAGGTCACTAAGTTGAAAGTCATTAAAGAGACGTTTGCTATTAGTGATCCAGTAGGGACATGCTTCTAAAAACCGGAGGCTCCCTTCATTCACGATTGAAAATCTCATAACAGTGCTTTCTCCACAAATAAACTAGACAGCCTCTGCATGAAAATTTCTCCGTGGATTTTCTAGTCCAAATAAGAAGAATTGAAATCGTGTAGTTTCCTCATGAAAGTCTATGAATGTGGTTTGAGGGAGCGGGGGAAAAGAAGTTCCTTTTATTTTTCAAACACAAAAAATGTAAACGAATTTACTTTCTTAAAAGAGAGTAACTTTCAGAGTAGCAGGTTAGTTCAGTTGGTTAGACCGTGGTGCTAATAACACCAAGAGCGCGGGTTTGATTCCCGTAGCGGCCAGTCGAGGTGTGGTTTTGACCTTCTGGTGCCTGCCGAGTAGGCACTTAGAATCCAAAGTACGTATTAACTCCGAAACGCTGCTGCTCAGAACAGGAAGTTCAGATATTGTCTTCTTTGTGAAACAAGAAAGCTATGTATTTTCGTTTCGCCTTGTTTGTTGTAGTTTTTCAAAGTAAAAGTAACTTTAAAAGTTCAAGTTTATTGAAGAAAATTGAAGGAGTAGTGTGGGAACGAGACGGTTGTGTTTTAGGGAAGGATTAAGGTTAAAAAGAGTTACGAAATGTGCCTGCTTAGTTTTTGTGAACCTTCAGGAGACAGTATTATTTTGGCGCTTTAAACGAGTTTCAATCGAGAAAAGAAAGCAAGCTCAGGGTGGCTAGAGACTGAGTTGTTTAGAGCGTGGTCCTAGTAGCAGCAAGACGCGGGGTGTGTTCCCATAACGTCTGTGCTTCGTTCTCTTTCCTTATCCCAGGCAGTTTCCAAGGTAAATGCCCGCTCCACGTGAGGTTGCACTTGGCTTTCATGGAAGATCTTCTCTCCCTTTAGCAGTAAAGAGCTGGGAACGGGATAAGAAGCTGTAAGACGCCAGTTCTCCTTTCAATCCGTTCACAGCCCAACAGACTTGGGCCCCCGGAGGCAGCGCGCTAGGTGGTTCCTTTCATTTCAGCCTCAGGGGCTCCTCATAGCGCACGTCGGCAACTTCGATAAATTTACCTGCGGTGCAGAGCGAGGATACAAGCTATACCTTCGGAAATCGAGCCACATATTAAGATGCTCTTTTGGTTTAGTTTGAGAAATGTTTCCCACCCCCACCCCCCCTCCCGCCTTGGCAGTGATTTCCCCCCAGCCTCTCTATTCTGTCTCCACACAGAGAAAAGAGGCAGGTCTGTTCTTTGGAGGGGCCGCTCCAAAGCTGCCTTCCCACGTCTTCCTTACACGCTCATCTTCTCCTGGGGTATTTACTTTAAAAAAATAATGGGGAGGGCACTCCTCTTGGTTCTTCTGTCCACTGAGGTCCGGTTTCCCAGCTCCTGCCTACTTCCAGAAGATGGTCAGTTACGGCTGGTGAGGGAGGGGGAAGAGGGGCATCCGCCGGGCTTCAGAACTGAACCCTAATGGGCCCAACTGAGTGAGGCAAGGAGCCTCTCGCATCCCGCGTCCACAACAGCCGAACCTTTCTTGACTCAACCTTTCCCCAGGAGATGTCCCTTTTCTTTTTGCTAGTACCCATGCGAGGAAAGAGCTGTGCAGGTAGTCCTCTGTGAGTGAGGACTCTTCCCAATGGGAAAAAATATTGATGGAGAAGATACTGCCAGGAAATTTTTTTTCGTTTATTTTTCTTTAAAGTTTCTTTGATTTAAAACCCTCCCTTCCAGTGGTCTTTTTCAGCCAATATCTTTTCTCAAGTTCAAGAAGTGATGAAAGGAAGAAAATTTTCAGGATGGTCCTCTGATGCTTCTGAAGTCTCTTTCAGACTCAACTGACAGAAGGTGAAGGATCACTTCCATGAAAATACTTTCGAAAGACTTTAAAAATTGTTTCAGTATCCTTTTGAAAAAAGTACCTAGGAAGATGAAGGAAAAACGGAGCTTACCGAGCCAACAAGGAGTCGAACCTAGAACCTTCTGATTGGTAGTCAGACGTGTTAACCATTGCACCACTGGCCTCTGCTGAACGAGTGTTCTCATATTCATATTTTCATTACCATCCACAGTTTATGCCAGCTAAAAGAATGATTGCTTTTTTTTTTTTAATTGAGTAAGAGGTTAAAACCAGAGACTGTATGGACTTTGGGAAAGCATGATTTCTTTTGTGCTTTGGTTGCATAACATAGATTTACATAAAATGTTTTCTTTGAAAACAATGGTTAATCTTCACTTATTCTCTGACTACGCAGTTGAAAACTTGTTTGGTGCTTAGTATGCAGCAGCTCTCGTTGCTTGAACAAATCTCTATGAATCTCTCCTCACTCTATTTCACATCCTTTCTTACCCAGCTTATATTACCGCCTGGTTTTGAGCTCTTCATTCCTTTTTTTTTTTCCTCAGAATATTCATCTGCCCTCAAAATGCAATAAGGAGACAAGAATTCAACAGAAATATACATTTTAAGAATCTCATTTGAAAAATAAACTTAGAAAACAGAATAGAATTGGCTTAAAAATGTACTTAGCTGTTCAAAGTAGGCAAAATAGCTGAAAATGCAAAAGTGCTTTAAGAGTGGTTTAGTACGTTAAGAAGGAGACCAAGTTTTTGAAATTCAAGGCAAAGTCAGAAGTTAAAATGTAATATATCCTCTCTGTGCCTCAATTTCCTCGTTTGTATAAAACGCTTGTCTTAAAGAGCGTGTAGCAAATATGATGGAATATTATCTTAAATTTTTATGGCTCTCACCAGCAGCCGCTGATATCAGGACAGACACTGAAGATTGCTGCCTGGGAATGCTTTAAAGAAGCATTCTTTATAACCGGCTCTCTACCATCACAAAGAGAAACGATTTTCCCAAATTCCAACGTCTCCTCTGTACAGTTTGCTGCTGTAATCTCTCTTAACAGATTTAATAACTTCATTTCATCGCAGCCAGTATTTTTGAGCGCGCTCTAAACCCGGTGAGGACAGTGGGGAGGCTGGGCTCAGGAGGCTCACAGAGCAATGAAAGGGATTGAAATCTGGCTGCTGCCCACGCTCTTTGAAAATTTGCGTTCTAAATCGGAACTGCAGCCTGAGGGATTTCTGTGAGGCGAGTAGGCACAGCAGTAAATTTTGCGGAAGCCACATCGAAAACGCTGTGAGCAGGATTTGAACCTGCGCGGGGAATCCCCATTGGATTTCGAGTCCAACGCCTTAACCACTCGGCCATCACAGCTCATCAGCAAGGTCTCTCTTCATCAGACTAAAGACAAGTATGTATTGTTTCCATGCAAAGTGGAAGAAGAGATAAGATCACGGACTTCTAAGTGTCCCCAAGAAAAACTTCTCCAACTCCAGGCTTGCTTATTTCACTCAGAGGCGATTTCGACTTTTCAGATATTTAGGCAAAAAAAAAAAAATGTTGGCAACATTTTTTAATACTTCAATTTTTCTTTCATTCCATGGATGTGGGGGAATTGTCTTGTTCTACCTATAAAATCTGAAAAACTTCTCACCACCCCAACTGCTACAGCCCTGCTCCAAGAAACCTTCATCTCTAACATGGAATGTTACACAAATCTCTTAGTAGGTTTCCCTTCTTCCACCTTTTTCATCCCTACAAAATATTCTATGAAAAGCAGTCTGAGAGATCTTTGTGAACCTAAAACACTTTATAGCACAGCTTTGCTCAAAACTGAACCGGCAACTCCTCATTTCATCAGAGTAGATGCCAAAGTCCTCACTGGGCCTACTGGATTGTCCGTGATCTCATTTCTCTGGTTGTACTCCTTCTTGCCTACTCTGCTGCCGTTAATACTGACCCTCTTGTTTTACATCGTATGCATCAGGCACATTGCTGTTTCAGGGCCTTTGCACTGACTGTTCCCCCTGCTGGTAATACTCTTGCTTTGATATATGTATGACTCAGCCCCTTATCTACTTCAGGTCTTTTCTCAAATATCACCTTATCAGTGGCCATAAGTATAAACTCCCCTCATTCCAATGCTTCTCCTCCCCTCATTCCAATGCTTCTCCTCCCCTTATTCCAATGCTTTTCCTCCCCTTTATTTTTTTTCCATATCACTTATGATCATTTGACACACTTTAAAACTAGCTTGTTTATTTTGTGTATTTTCTGTCTCCTCTATGAGAGTGCAAACTCCAATGAGGGCAGAGATTTTTGTCTGTTTACTGCTAGACTCCCAGTACCTAGAGGAATGTCTGGTACATTTATTGAATGGATGGCATTCAATAAATATTTGCTGAAAATGAATGAAATGGGTTTTAATATCCCATTTTGCAGATGAGGAAGTGAGATGCAGAGAGGTTATTAAGTTTCCCAGGATCACAACATAATAAAACCAAGACAGAAACCCAGCATTCAGATTTCCTTCCTAAAGATCTTTCTGCTCTTCCAGAGATGCCTTAAGGGTTAGGGATGAAGTTGGGGGGAGAGGATAGGGAAGCAGTGTTGGCTGACTTGGAGAAAGAGGAAGAACTACAGAGGTTGGGATGGTTCAAAACAAACAGCTTCCTCCATGAGAACCATGTATTTGACTAGAACTTTTCTGATGCTCACATTCAAAGGCAGCAATCTATATAGTGTGTCTTAGGGAACACTGCCTCAACATCAGGACCATTGTTCATACCCATTCACTTAAATGAAAAAATTCAAGTCTCCTTTGGTTCTGAAATATTCATTTCCCTATTTCCTCCAGGGGAGCAATACCAATAACAAGCATAATGTTTGTGACAGTTATCTCTGGTTACTCTCCATATCCTCTGAGACTCTTCATATCTAGCTTTCTCTGCCTTCTCCCTAATCTGGTAAAATCACTTTCATATTCTATGCTCAGTATCACCATCTTAATATCCATGTCTTTCTGTAGGCCCACCCTTCTTCTAGAAAACTGCAATAATGTGGAACACTTCAGCCCCAGTCAGTCATGGATGCAAATACTGGCTCCAAATTTTACAACCTGGTGATCTTGAGCACTCCTCCGCGTCTGCATCTATAAAACAAGTAAATGATTGTCAATAATAACGACACCTACCCCCTTACACTTGCTTGTTAGTTTATATATGAAAAATCAAAAACTAATTGATTTAATAGCTGGTAACAAATGGTAGCTATTACTACTGTTCTACCTCTTTCTTTCCCATTTTTAGTTTCAACAACATAACATGGGGAGGGAGTCAGAATATGCCACCCCAAAATATATCACTTTGGCATAAGGATGGTTGAAGGCAACGGAGAAAAAGCAAACACAGGAAGGACTCTTAGCCCTCTTCCTCTCTGCCTAAAAGCAGGTCGTTAATTTCCCTTTGTGAAGATGTTCCCCTCCCCATCTCCTGTACCAGAAGGAGGAGAACAACCCTTATCACCAGAGATGGAAAGTCAACACCAAGATGACTGCACAACCAACCTTACTAAAATAACCCTTATCTTCTATTAGTTGCCCTATGTATTTACCTTCCCAGATTACTGCCTTTGGAAGCCCAAATCCCTCTTTTCTCTGTCTCTACTTCTCTATAATTTATTGCACTTTGTTAAAACAGTATAAAATCTTTGAGTCTAACTGCTTCTTTGGGTTTTCACTTCTATTCTGTGAAGTCTCTGTGCATGTAAAATTAAAATATTAACATCAATAGAATGTAAACGTTTTCTTTTAGTAATCTGTCCTTTGTCAGTTTAATTCATAGGTCCCAGCTACAGACCTAAGAAGGTAGGGAAAAAGTTTTTCCTCCCTTACACATGGCAGGTGCAAAGATCAGAGCTTTGCGACTTTGAAGAAAATACACCCACTTCCAATAGGATACTAAGGAATGAACAGGTAATGTGGAGCCAGGCGTACTCATGTTTGAGTCATAACACACACACTAGATCCACACTTAGGCCAGATAGGCAATCACTGCAAGACTCAGTATCTCAAATTACTGAGATAGTGAGTCTTGCAGTGAAATTAGGAAAAGAATACCTTCCTCAGAGAATCATGGTAAGGGTTCAATCTTAACACCAGTATCTACTGAGTGTCTATTTTGTATCAGGTATATGCAAGGCAGTGTGGATTCATTGATGAGCAAAACTAGACACTGCTCTTACCCTCATGCAATTTACTACATTCCAGTGAGAGAAACAGACATTAAGAAAGTTATCACATTGATAAATGTAAAATGTGCTGGGAAAGAGAATACATGATACTGTAATACAGGACGTTCACTTAGGGATTTTAAGGAAGTCTTCCCTGAGAAAGTAATAATCCAGCTGAGATCTAAGCACGAGCAAGAGATAACTAAGCAATGAGGCAAGCACAAAGTTCTTCAACTAGAGGGGACATCACGTGCAGAGAGACTGATTACCTGAAGACCCATGAGTATGGAACACAGACTGCAAGAGACAGTGAGCTGTGACATGAGGGTGGAGAAGTACTTAAGAGTTGGTATTTGGAGCAGTTATACGTAATGTGTCATACAATATGACATCTACAACGTGTACTGTGGTTCAGACTCTTAAAATGCTTGTTTCTGCCTCCTCTTGCCTTTATCTAGACAAAATATCCAGAATATGAGATCTGGTGTGACTTAACCTCTAAGGAAAAACCAGTTAAATTCCCTCAATAAGTTTGAAAGAATTCACCTCAAGGATCGTGAGAACCCTCCTAGAGGCTGGTAGGGGCAAAATCGGAGCCCCTGCTTCCCATTCGGAGATCTCAATCTCTGTCGCCCTTGTGTGGTCACTTCGTGCAGGCACGGATGTTAACTGAGTTGAACGCTTGCAAGACGAAATAATTTCCCTGAAGGTGGGTCTGGAAAGCGGAAGCACCCTCCTTCCTGTGTTATGTCCATTCCAAAAGAAAAAACTGTCCTCCTTAATGGTTTTTAGCAAAATATATCATAAAATATACACAAACAAGTCACCAAACTTCTCAACCCTTTCTTATTTCCGGGAAATCCCTCAAACTGCCCGAATACCTGATTTCAGAAATGGTAAGGATCCTTCCTTTCATCCGGGACGGTCTCCGCCTGAGCTGGATGCC